ACTACTACGACTACTACGACTACTACGACTACTAGTAGTAGTAGTAGTTAGAAACCAAAAGGAGGTGGCAAGCCAAGAGAGAACAAGCACCAGATGTGCACCACCAGCACTTGTGCCCTTGTTGGTTGAGAAGTCTTACTCTAAATATAGTACTACTAGTACTAGTAGTAGTTGTTGTACTGCTACTACTAGTTAGAAACCAAAAGGAGGTGGCAAGCCAAGAGAGAAGCACCAGATGTGCACCACCAGCACTTGTGCCCTTGTTGGTTGAGAAGTCTTTACTGGTAGTAGTAGGACTCATGGATCTATAGCTAAAGTCATCTCTTCTGTGGTACTATTTAGCCTTACATCTACTATGACATACAAATGGCTCACATTTTTATGAAAATCTCCTGTTGCCACCATGCATGGTCACTGTTGTTCCAAATCAGCAAGAAATTAATGATTTTGTTAGTGCTGCTTTTTAAAAAAGAATTGGACAGCAAAGAATGTGGGCAGCAGGAGATATTCCTCAAGGTAAAGATAAGAAGAGTCCAACTAGTGGATTATACACCAATAAAGATTCTTCAACTTGCAGGTACAGGATACTTGTGTGAAGAGTGAACAAAATCTTAATATTATATTATTATGTTTAACCTTGTGAACTAGAAGAGAGCACTATATGGCCAGAACCATTGCTGCTCCTGACTAGGGAGAAGAATACTCCTAGCTGCTCTGAGGGGTGGTGCCTCCTCCCTCCCAGGACCTCCAAGGAGGGGTTTGTGGAGGAGTGACCACCAGGTTCTACTAGTATGCATACTGACAAGCCAATTAAAGTAGGATACATAGAAGGAGTTGGTTGACAGTTCCAATGGATGAGAGCCATGCTGTGATCATTTCAAAGTACACTGCAAAGCCAAAAGGCAAGTCACACCACAGTGAACAAGGAAATGAGTGCTAAGCACACTGCTAAGCCAATTAAAGCAAGATCACCTGGGGTGTACAAAGACACAGGTGACAAAGCCCAAAATTATAGCCAGAAAGAAAAAGAGCACTTCACAAAGTGACTCAAGCCCAAACATGGAGGTAGCAGTGCCATTGGTGGCAACATTGCTGTAGGAGCAACTATCTGTGAAGCCCCTTCTTGGAGAAGAGGAGAATTGGTGGGGATAGATTGATAAGATCCAGAATGGGGTTTGGGTGGGTGATTTTGCTATCCAACACAAATGTTGGAAACAACAACATCTTGATTGGAAGACACCATTATGGCCAGATCCACCAGGCTTTTTTGTGTTAAAAGGGGGTAGGGGGCTAAGAGGATTCATGCTCTTGTACGGGACCAGTGTTGCGGTAGTGATACCCAGCACATTAGTCTGCCAGCAGAGACAACCTTCCCTGTCAACCTTCCCTCTTTGTAGCTACTTTTTTGGTGACAGGAGATAGAAAGTCAAGAAGACTAAGAGTATTGTATTTGGTTTTCTTTCTTTTTGTTCCTTGGCACCATTGTTATCAGACCCCCCTCTTTTTGTGTGGCACTGTTGTTGACAAAGCACCATTTTGTTTTATCTTCTGGTTCTTTCTACTCTCATGTTTGCAGTGGTATTTTTTTTGTAAGTTTTGCTGGCTTTCTGTTCCCCTGTCTTACAAGGGATCAGTGGAGGGACTCAAATATTTTAGTTTGACATTCTATTCTAATTATAATAACTCTAGAGACACAGAGGAGCCAATCGTGCCTCTAGACCTGGTCTGTCCAGATCACATCAGTCAAAAATTAACATTGCCTGTCAGTCCAACTCTGTTGAAAATGGAAAATTCAGAGTAGTAACAAAAGCACCCAATACTTCAAATTTCAGGGCAGTACAACCTAAAGCCAGGACTGAATGAATTCAGTCAAGGGACATGTCAGTAACAACAGCATCTGTACCAGAAGATCCATCCTGTTGTACTTCCAGAGGAAACAAGAAGACAATCTGGATCTATGCAAAGATCTACTATATCATGACAAAGAAGAGGATAAAGATATTAATGATGACAATATCTAAGAGACCTCTGGAGGCAAGACTTGGGTTGTTGGTGTCAGACACAAATATCAGAAACAAGAACATCCTGACTGAAGGCTTCTGGTTTGTAAACAGTACTGGAGCTGCTGTTAGTGCACAGAGGTAAGGCTGGGGAGTCTACTTGAAACTGCAGGTAGCATATACTTCAGGCATTGTTCTTCCAAGGAAACGTCTGGGTTGGATACTGGGGGCTTGGGCTGTTTTGGTTTTTGGACATGAATATCAGAAACATACTTCCATAGGAACAGGGGATGGATTTCACTGAGGCAAACTGCTATCCACAAGGGACACGGGAGGAGTGGTGTTGACCTCATTATCAGCTTGATTGGATTACTTTACTAATAGATGCCAGGGAGATGGATTTTCCCCTTCAGAAGGGGATATTACCATGGTGGTTTGGATGACAGAAAGTGCAGATCAGGTATGTACGTGTTGGAATTAGTCGGAATAATGGGTGATAATTTTCAGAACCAAAAAGTGCAAGTTAATTTGGCATGGTCTTGGTACTTCATTAGTTGAAATGGTACTGACACCAGCACTCCAATGCTGAGAGAGGGATGATGATAGTTGTTCTCTTTAATACTGGCCTGTTGAGCAAAATATTTGGTCTCAATTTTGGCAAATCTTTGTGTTGAGTCATTCCATAGATATTCATTTATGAATTCCAATCTAAGACTATGTGAGGATTTATATCATGTGAGCTAGTCAATTAAAAAATGATCTGGATAGTCTGTCAAAAGTAGATTGTGTAGTATTGGCAATAACCCATTGTTGATACTGCTGATGTGATTACAGATTTTTTTTGTCAGAAAGTTTTAAAAATTACTTGAAAGGTTTGAATTTTTCAAGAGTTTGATTTTTGGTACTGTAGTCTGTAGTGCAGAAAAATGTTTGATTCGAATAATTTGTATTGTACAAATGCATGTATCATAGTAGAGAGAAGTCCCTTCACATCTGTTCAAAATGCACAAAAAAGGAATTTTGTTTGAGTTTTGGCGTTTAATGAGAGTTTGGGATGACAATAATTGGTGATAAGCAATCTCATTGTCTAATAATAAGTGCTCTGAATGAAGATAGAACATTTTTTTGTTTTGACTAGTTTGATTTAATCATAAGAAGGTGGAGACAGAGCATTCTTTCTTATTTAACTAGATTGAATACTTTTTTTGACTAGCTCAAATACGTTGAATTACCCCATTTTAGTGATTGGGTGAATCCCGATAATAGAATTGCTAAACCTGTAGATTTAGCACATTTGTTACTTTTATAATAATGGGAATCAAAATTAATGCAGACAGACTGAGAGGAAGGCCAGCTTCATCTCAATCTTTTTGGGAATCTGGAATACTAACTATAATTCAACATAAAGACTAAAAAGAGGTGTGCACTGCATGCACACCACAATGGACAAAGAAAACTTGAAATTTTCAACAATAGTATGTATTTTTGCATTATCACCGTTACACTATTAGTAGTAGTAGTAGTAGAAGGAAGACTCAAATTTCTGGTACTTACTCATAGTATCAAACATTTCCATCTTCCTTACACTATTAGCACCAGATGCACTATTATACCAGACATTCATCCTAGCAAGAAAGAAGGCCAGGACAATGGGAGTGGTGGAGGTCATCATGATGTACCATGACTAGCAGATGCAAAGCACAAGTAATCTACAAAAACTATCACCAGAAGAGAGGAGAAGGAGGGATAGGAGAACTCCCTGGCTTGCAATCCAATATGCAGATTCTCCCTTCCACAATCTCTTCCACTCAGGGCTTGATCAAGTGCTCCTCAACTGCTGTGGTGTAGACCACAAGGTCTTCAGGGAGCTCATTGATGTGTTTGTTCCTGTTTACAACAAATACACAGTCAATGCCAACAATGAGATTGTGGAAGTTCCTTGTTATCCCAGTGGCAAGCCCAAGGGGAAGAAGATGGAGGTTGACACAGTCTGTGCTACTGGGCTGGTCCTCTATTGGTACAGGACAAGAGGATCTGTTGTAAGGTCAATGGCCATGGCCATGGCCATTGGCTTGATGTCAACAGTGATGTACAACTGGCTCAAGTTT